GCTCTGTGAGAGAGCACTTCCTGCCCTGCCCTGTACCCAGCAACACGTCTGTTCAAGCAAGAAAAAGACTATGAGCCACACAGGAGGTCTGAACGACACTGTTAACAACCTTGAATTCATGGGTTTTCATCACACTCGGTGCTCAACAATCCAAGATGCATGCATTCTCCCCAAGCAAAACTGGAATCTTGACAAAATCGCAGCCTGTGCCGGGTGATGAAACAAGTCTAAACAGAGTCTGAACGACTAGACAACTAGTATCAAATGAACCCTCCAACCACAATTCAGGATTATTTGAGAAATGAACCAAATGGAATACATTTTTAAATCGCCTTATGATCATATATATTTCTACCAAGACAGTGGACCAAATGTTTCGAACAGTCTGCTCACTGAAAACAACTAAATATGCTGAATAAAACATTTTTTAAACATCTTCTGGAAGGCTTCTATGGCTGGGTGACAAACAAACAAAAGCAAACCAAAGTCCTGGTCCAGCCAATGCTGGGATGCAGAGGGGGCAGGGAGAGGTCAGGTCAGCTGTTACCCTAGGCCGGAACCACACACACACACACACACACACACACACACACTGTACAGTGTCACAACCAGCAAAGAAAAGCAAGCCAAAGGACAATGGACACCCAGGACCACAGTTACCTGCATGGAGTAGAGGGGCAGGGGTGGGGGGATGTGACAGGGACACAGACCGGGAAACATCAGCTGTGCTCTCTTCTCTTGGGGAGTAGGATCACAGGTACTCATTTTTTTTACTAAGCATCATAACTTACAAACGATACATGTATCAGATGTTACCGAGCTAAGCAATTAAAAAGAATCCGGGCACCTGGGGGGGCTCAGTCGGTTGAGCATCTTACACTTGATTTCAACTCAGGTCATGATCTTGCGGTTCGTGAGATCGAGCCCCACGCTGGGCTCTGCACTGAGCGTGGAGCCTGCTGGGGATTCTCTCTCCCCTTCTCTCTGTCCCTCCCCTGCTCGCACTCTCTCTCAAAATAAACAAACATTTAAAAAAAAAAAAAGAAAGAATCAGGGCGCCTGGATGGCTCAGTTGGTTGAGCATCCAACTTCAGTGATCAAGTCATGATCTCACAGTTCATGAGTTCAAGGCCTGTGTCAGGCTCTGTGCTGACATCTCGGAGCCTGGAGCCTGCTTTCAATTCTCTGTCTCCCTCTCTCTTCCCCTCCCTCGCTCCCTCCCTCTCTCTCTCTCAAAAACAAACAAACATTTTTAAAAATTAAAAAAAAAAAATCAATGTTATCAAATTCTGAACCCCTTAAATGGGTCCTTAAAATGGACTCATTTAGCTTGGAACTCAGTGAAAATATAAGTATGCACATATGTATGCATCTTATTTATTTGAATCAAGTATTAAAGATTTTAGAAATTACAGAATGGGTGTCATTTGGCTCTGAGGCCTGTATAAGATAATTTATCTCAGAACTCAGCGACAATTTCCACACTCAAGTTCTTACAAAATATTTCAATTCCATTCTCAGTTGAATAGACCTTGGCTATAAATAGCTGAAGGGCCAAAACTGTATTCACTGTGTGTGTGCAGGCGCGTGCACGATTAAGCAGGAGAACGTTCTGAATTCCTAAGTGATTTTGCAACAGCGGAACGAAGGCTGCTCCCAAGGTGGGTGCTGCCCGCGCAGGAGAACACGCGGATTACTTGGAATAGCCCCGGAATGTCCACACCCGCAACAGGACAGATGCCGCACTCGAAGTGACCACAAGAAGTCAAATGAATAGACAAGTAGTTACTGAAGCAGCAGGGCAAAAATCATACTATTTCCAAAACAAATGGAAGTACAAATACATCCATTTTTCCCATAAGTGGATAACATTACGTTTTACCCATTTTACGCACAGCCTGTGCTACGCGCCAGCATTTTACAGGCGAGCCTCCCCCTCCGTGAGCAGAGCTGTGCTTCCCTCCTCAGGGTGGATGCGAACATTTGAAACCCGGAGGAATGTATTAACCGAACTTTTCCCGACAGACCTCTGCCACGGTTCCACTTTCCGTCTTGTTACTGCCACGCTCCAAGGAGCGTCCTGTACCTACACGTGTGTGAATCTCACCTCTTTAGAATAAGCCCCTGGAAGGAGAATTATTAGTTTGAATATCAAATTGCCAATATTCGACTGTTTTTACTTACAAAACCGCCAGTGGTGCCACATCCCAACCAGAAGTTCAGGGCCATGCTCGTGGCCCCTCCCGTACCTGCCGATCAGGAGCTGTGACAACTAACAGCATTCTCCTCCGCCCCTCTGTCCTCCTCCCCTGTATTCTGAGTGCCGCCTTTACCTCCCTCTGTTTCCTGTCACTTAGGCCTGAAGACACCGGCTTGGATGAGCCATCGACACGGGGAAGGGGTGGGATCACAGCTACACTTGTATTTCTCTTAAAATACAGGTACTTGGGAGAATATTACAAAATTATATGCGAAATGAAAGTAATTATTAGGGTAGAGATACTTTAAGTGATGCTTTAGAATATTTTCGGGACTGTCTAAAACTGTATAACTAAGTGTAAAAGGTTAAAAAGAGGGCAGGCTGAAGAAGAGAAAGTGTAGGAACAGGAGAAAGCAGAGCGGGGGGTGAAGGGGCCGGGAGCCCATGTGGAGAGCACACAGGAAGGCAAGAGAGACACGCGCCATCCCGGAACGTGCAGCCCCACTCGCGTCGTGACAGGTAAACGGTAGATGCCAAGCGCTCAGAGGTCTGGTGCCGCCTGTGGACTGCAATTCAAACCATGCCTGGGCACTTGTGTGACAGACAATCCTACCTCACTTCATCGGTATTTGAGCAGGTGAGACAGGTAAGCACGCGGAGACTCACGGAGCCGTTAAACGCACAGTGGGCCACTACCGCGTGCACGCTCACTCCCTCCGGGGTTTTTTCATAAAGGCCGTTCAACCGAACAATGCAGGCCGCTGCGAGACACGTCCTATGAGTAAGAGAAAACTGGGGCCACACCGGCATGTGAAGTGCTTTTAATCAGAGATACAAGCAAGGCCTCCTACGGGGAACAACTAGGACACCCAGCAATAGTGTGGAAGGAACAAGAACGCCACCAACTGCGAGGTCGGCCTGTAGTGGCCGTGAGCTAATGAGGCCTGTTTGATGAATTCCAGAAATCCGTGTCACTGAAGTAGTCACAGATTTCCTCAGGGGGTGGGTTTTTTCAAGGAAATTATGCCAACGGTGATAAGTAGCATCTACAAGAGAGAAACACGCGATGCAAACCTATCAGTTAACTAAGCTCTCCTGTCACCTCCTTCACTTCGACTCAAAGCTCACCAGATTGCTAAGGGTGAGCTGTGGAAACACAGACGAGGAGCGGTTTGTAATCTAGAAATCATTTCTGCAGTACAAACGGGCCTCCAGCAATCTCAGGCGGAGTCTAAAGAGGGCTTCGCTCTTTTCTTTTCGCCAAACGCCAACGCCCTCTTCCTGTGCATCTCCGTATCGTGGTAAACCCTCCCAGGCTCCCGTCAAGTCTGGTACCCCACGTTTCCACTGGCATTTCACTGGCCATTTCCAATGGCACTTCCACCCCGCAGACAGGAAAACAGACCCAATACCGAGAAACAGCGACCTCAGCCTCCTGTTCTCACAGCCTAGATCTGAGAAGGGGGAACACACAGTTTTCTCACATTGGGAAGTACATCAACCTACCGTCCTGCCACCTTACTTCTGAATGTAACTGAACCTTGCCTCTTTCCTGACACCAGGCATCTGGACGGACACAATCAACCTCTTTCTTCTTTACTTTCATGCTCCATTTGGATCAGCCTCCCGGTCCTATCAAATCCATCCACTAAAGTTGCCTACACCCACAGTCAGACCTTTCTCTCCCCCGTTTCTTGCCCAAATGGCTGAACAGCCTCCTAACTTGCTTGCAGCCTTAAGACCCATCCAATGCACGACGGATGCCACCATCACATCAGTGTGATCTTATTTAACAACGAAAATTCTCGTCAAGCCACTCACTACTTAAATTCTTTAAATAGCTCCCTTTATGCTGCAGGAGGAAACCTAGAACCTTCCCTTTCTTTGATGTGGGCTGTATCTCCCTCACCCACTTCTCAGAACTTCTCAGCTCAGCTTTAAATGCACCAGGTTTCCTAAAGTACAGCTCTTCCTCATCTACAAAGCTGGGGACTCGGTGACACTTTCCAGACCCCCTGGACTCCACCCACTGGGTTAGCAGACCCTCCTGTGTATGACCACGTGGCCCGTGACCACCAACAGTAGAGGACTGAACGCAAAGTACCGTGTACAGGAGATCCTCACCCACTGCACCTTCAATCGAATTTAATGTGCAATTCACTTATTTCATCTGTGTTCTTGACCCACAGCAGACATTTAATACATATTTTTATTAAAACAAAACATTACCAAGTGCATTTACCTGCAAAATGGTGTGCAAATGTTGGGATATTATTCAGACCATTTTTTCCCCCCATGCTCATCACTAAAACTAACAAGTATTTGGTCATAAAATTGTGTTGGTTCATTTATGCCACAGGTATTTATTGCCTAATATTTTAAGGGATAAAAAGCAAGTTACTCAATGTAAAAAAAGTCCATTCTGGCTTTACTGTGCAAGTTGTTCTTGAGATTATGTCAATGTAGCTGGCTCTGACAATAAATTCTGTACCCGACAAATCTGTTGATATTCAGGCATGACCATTATACTTGAATCAAAGACAAGCCAGTGGTTGAGTCGCTTAGGACTTACAGTCTCCACATAAAAGAAGTCTCTTTTAAGACTTGCCTAAGCATACAAGAATTCACAAAGTGTCAAAAATTCAAAATTTCCCACTGGTTAAAAGACTCTCACTGCCATACTGTGCCAAATTTATTATTTTCCCGAACATTAGGTTTAATCTAATTCTAAGATAAAACCATGTAGTATGTAGGATTCAAAGAAACAAAGAAAAAGGTGTATTAAAGTACCCTCCTATACCTGTTGATAGAAGAAATTCAGAGTTGGCTTGTCTTCAGTAAACTGGTTTAGAAATCCTTTTGGCAAATAACGAATTCTCAATTCATATCTAAAAAACAATTCAGAAAATAGAACAATTAGAAAGAAGTAATTTTCTCAACTCATAGTCTGTAATTATAGTATTATTGTATGACATAACCAATTACTCGAAGTATTATTTTTAAAATAAGGTAAAAAACAATCACAGTTTTTAAGCATACGGTTTAAAACCTTTCAGCACAAGAACATGCACGTCTGTTGTCTGAAGCTCAGTGATCCCGCAAGGAGACAGGACAAGAAAGACATCCAGAAGGCACAGGGCCAGCAGTCACTGTCCCCCACTGGGCCGGGCGGCACCCCCTCACACCTCCCCTCGACGGCTGCCCTGATGTGCACGGACTCACACAGAATGCATTCTTCTATGTCTGGTTTTTTCTCACTCGCGGCAAATGCTTGCGATGTGGAGCCCAGCTAGCAGCTGAAGGTCGGTCACGGCTGCCCTGTGTGACAGCCCATATCACCGCGAAAGGCCATCAGAGTTATTACTACTTTGTGGCCCTGATGAGGAAACGGCTATAAACACTCTTTTTTTTTCCTCCTCTAAACATAAAATGATGGGGCACCTGGGTGGCTCAGTCGGTTAAGCATCCGACTTCAACTCAGGTCATGATCTCGCAGTTCA